GGCCATAGAAGACAATAAATATTTATATGTAAATGCCGGCAATATTGTCTCTATTGTTCACACAAAAAATGCCCACAAGGGTAGTACATATATGTACATATGTGTACTAACCTGAACCCGGAGGGTACAGTTCACACCGAACTTAGAGCACCAAAGGTCGCACTAAAGTAAGAAATTAAATGTTGCAATTGACATAATTGTATTCGATAGGCGTTGGGAAGAAAAGTTTTATTGTATTGCTGGAAAAGTAAGTGACAGGTAGGTGGAAATGTGGTTCACAAAGTGCTGTTAAATGCACAAATTGAGTTTTATTAACCATTTTCAAATACCAAACAAAAGTGTAAGCAAATTGCATAACTTAATATTAAAGTAAGTCATTTATACTCAAGCCAACTTATATGTATTTTCATTTTCATGAATGTGTTCTTTAAAATAATATAAACTGTGATAGAAAAAGATGTACTTTTATAAGAAATTCAGTTTTAACAACAAATTACATGTACATGCCCAAAAGTAGGCAAAAAATATTAAAGGCGCCATAAAAGATATATGAAATTTCACTAGAAATTGGGATTCTGCTTGTAGAAGCAATAATTATTATTATAGTGCTGCCATACCATGACTAATCGGAATCCCATTTTTTCGCCCTAAAAATGCCGTTTCTTGGCTGCCAAATTAAAAATAAAAGTCAGAATGAGGAATGCCATACCTCGTTGAGCTCGTTGTTTAATTTCCAATCAATTGGCATTCTAACCTGAATTTTTTTTATTTTTTGCCATTTTTCGAAAAAATGTGATGAAACCCCTACAAAAATTGCGAAAATTGGTCAAAAAATAAATTTTCATAAAAGTGATGAGGATCGTTAGCATATTAAACAAGCTGCTCAAAACAGTCGGTCTTTTAGCTGTACGCCTTGAATTGGCTGAACTACGGCTGAAAAACCACTAAAAAATGAGTATTTTTGACCAAAATCTGAATCCCAAAAAAAACCGAGCTACCCCCTTACAAAAAATGAAAAAATTTGTCAAAAAATAAATTTTCCTTAAAGTGATAGGGATCGATAGCAATTGAAGCAAGCTGCTCAAAACAGTCGGTCTTTTAGCTGTACGCCTTGATTTGACTTAACTATGATTCCAAAACCGCTAAAAAAGGCTTTAATTCAATCACATTTTGCAATATGTTTTTAATGTAATTCTTTCAATTCCTGGTTTATTTTTCCTTAACTTTCGAAAATAGGGTACAAAATTTTTGTTGAAATACCATTTATATCTAGCACAGTTAGTTTCCTCTTATTTTGTGCGTCGGAGCTGTTGGTTCTGGGAGCGAAAAACCCTTTCCGGCGGCGGATTCAGCCTCGGTTTCAGCTCCAAGTGACAGAGTCGAGGCTAAGCGACCACTTTAAAGTGCCCTGAACTTGATTAATGAATGGCAGCGCTCCAAAGTATGCTACGGCGTGCAGCTAACACAAACACACACCATCAGGCGGATTCACACACACCCTCAAAGTGTCAACGACACGGGGCAAAAAGAAAATAAAAATATAAAAAAAAGTAGATGCCAAGGAAAGGCGAAAGAAAAGCCCCCAGTTCTGACGTGGCTTAAAATCTGTTTGCCACGCGGAGCACAAATTGAAATTGGCTCACAACTTGGCAGCTAATTTAATATCATATTTCCACGGGAGATGTGCTGTGTGTGTGTGGTTCTTGAAAAGTGTGTACCACACTTATAATTGTCTGAGACACGGGTTACGAGATACGGAAAGGAATTAAGAATAATTTCAAAAGATTGTAAAGGTTCTTCATGAAACTATACAAAGGGTTTTACATTTCTTGACATTAGTATGTTCTTTAATTAAATAAAAGTGCTAACCACAAGGCTTAAAGAAATTATTCAATATTAAAATAAATTGCAAAAGGGATTATTTAAAAAATCCCATCATAATCCTATAAACTTAAATACTAATAAACCAAGGCTTAAATACTTTAAACTAAATTTCCAAATTGTAGTAAGAACCTCTTTAAGTTTAAATTTAACTTAAATTCAACCAACCAATAAAAGCATATACACTTTTGCCCAAGCATTTTCCATCTTGCCTTTTTGGCTTCCTGATATCAAACATTTTTAATGCTTCCTGTGCAGCACTTAAGTATCTATAAGATACTCCAATATCCCAGGGGCTTACACACATGCCAACATCCGTGCGAAGATAGACAGACACCTTGCCACACTTTGTTGGTAATTTAAATTGCACCTGGTTCGGAATTCGATTCGACTGCTGCGGTGCTTAAAAATTTGCTGTAATTGAATTGAAATGATTTTTCAGCTGAGCATTTTACTAAAAATGTGTGACAAGCTTGAGGGTAAAACAGAATATGTAGATTTTCTTGCAATTTAATAGAATACATATGGAAGTTTACCAACTTTTAGGATTAGAAATACATAAATAAGCTCTCAACACTCATGAATAACTCATTAAGTAATTTATTCAAACGTCCATTTATTCATTAGCCTGGTGGAGCATAAAGTATACTTTATGTATAGTAAATGGTGGTACTCAATAAAAAAAGGATAGTATGAGTTGTGAAGAAAAACACACATACGCAGCGTGGGCACATTGGAATTCTAGACATAAATCGAGGGTCGAAATCCAGAGGAACGAAACTCATCATCAGACACGAACGGACCGCGATGCCAAGCTCATTTTCGATTTGTGCAACAAATGAAGTGAGAAATTATTTTTATTATTATTTATATTTTTACTACGGATGCTCCACATCCACAACCAGATCTGCTTCCACATCCACATCCACATCCGCACCGTGGGCGAATCACGTATTCCAAAAAGCAAACAAACGCCAAAGCCCGCATATATAAACAGGCGGGTAGTTATGAAAAGTAAGCAAAAGCCAGGGAAAAATAATAATACGAGGGGGGACCAGAAACAGAACCAGAACCAGAAGCATCTACCCATCGAAACAGCGAAACATTGAAGCCAAGTTAAGTACACATTTTTCGGTGGGCGTTCGTCAGTCACATCATTAAAATCGAGCACGGAGGGATCTCCACTGCCGCCTAATTCGAGTCCTTGCCGCAAGATGTGCTGAAATGTGCCGATGGAATTGGTTGAGGGGATGGGGCACTAGATAGGGATAGGGACACCCGTCCTCTGGAGGCATTCATCAATATGCCAAACATGTTTTGTTATCATCAAATGGAAAATGCTTCATTTTCACGTACGCCAAAACGGAAGGCGGGTGCACTGGGAGAAACGAAAGTTAAGTTGGGAGCATCTAAAAAAATTACAAATCCTAAAAACACATTTCAGTATGAAAATTATATCATATTAGTTTCATTTTCTTATAAACTCTTCAGGTTGAAAATAATTAAAAATTGATTTTATTTTATACGTGGTATTTTATTTTAGGATTTTAGATTACATTTTAAAAAACTTTTCTGGTGGAAAATATAATTATAACTTTTCTAGTGTTATATTATCCATTAGAGGGATAAAAATTCAACCACTTAACTATAATTAAATCAATGGGTTATTATTAAGTTTTAAAATATTAGTACTTTGTTAAATCTATATATGACATTAACGTTTTTAGAAAATTAAATACAATTATTTTTGTAAGTAAAAAAAGTTTAAAATTAAGATTTATTGCACAAAAATTTCGATACAGATTTTCGATTTCGAGACAGAATTTCTTAACTTAATGGTATATTTTTCTGTGTGTAGTTAATACCAAAAAAATTTTCCAGTAGACACTGTTACTAAAAAAAGCAAATTCGAAACGTATAATGAGAAAAGAAGGTGACTGGAGGCTGGGCTTAACCTTTGTTCGCATCGGAAGTTCCGCTGCGAAGGCATTAAGGCTGTCCCAGGCAATCCATAGTTGTGCCACCAAATTTATTTAGAGTGCAGGACGAGCAACAGGACGAGTGGCAGGACCAACAGGCGACTGACAGGCAGACAAGGGGACCAAAGACAGGCCGTCAAAGTTGATGGCCTCGAGGCGGAGATGAGTGCAAGTTATCGTTGTGAATTCCGCAGGTGAATTTCCAGATCCCAGCCTCGTTTCCATCCTCATCCCGCATTCAGATGGCAGCAAAGTTTGCGGCTTGCGGCATCTGGCGAATCGCGGTGCTTAAACCACCCAAAAACTAGCGACGACGGAACACATAAATTGATTACCAAGACATTTCACGACAAATTCGGCATATAACTCGGAACGAGGGGGGGCTTATCGGTGGTACTAGACAACAGTTTCCGGAAGCAATATACTCGTAGATGTGGCAATTGCAATCGCAGTGGCGCAAGTCGTCTGTGGAATTCCGTAATCTGCGACAGTCAGGAAAATACTCAATACCCAGTACTCAATACCCAACACTCAGATGCCAAATCAAACGCGACAACTGTTGAGCCAGGCAGCCAGGGAGGAGATTACAACGCCAATGGGACTTCGAATCTGGAAGAGGAGGGTTCAAAAAGCCACAATACAGATTGATTCAAGCGAAAACTTCACAAAAACCTCTTTAATCCCTACAAAATACTTGTAGAAAACAGACAAAAAATAATAAGAAATCTCTAGTGATTTGAAATCACCCACAAATGTACCTTAAAGTATGCAGTGAAATAAAAATACATCCTTTTGCGCTCTCTAAATAAATTGTTGCATGTTTTTAGACACCTTTAAGCGAGCTTTCAATGCTCTAAAAATTTTTAAAGCACCTTAAGGGTTCCACTAACATAACTAACTAACTAACTAACTAAAATATAGTTTTGGGTGTCTAAAAGAATGCAGTGAGCTTAAAATATATTATTGCATACTTTTAGACACCTTTGCATGAGCTTTCAAAGTTCTACTGATTTTTGTAACATTATAGGCTTCCCTTGAAATGATATATCAAAATGAATCCCTTCTCTCTCGAAATCTCAAAAACAGTAACCCTAGCCTTATCCATCTGTTTATAAACCCTTAACGACACTTATTTTCCAACTCAGTAACCATAGCCGTCAGTGAGTCTATAATCTATAATTTTCAAACGATATTATTGCGGAGAAATTGTTCAAAGATTTTACACAAAAATTATTTTTTTTTCAATTTTGCAACGCTTTTCTTTGAAACCAATCGATAATCAGGAGATCAGCATGTCGCTAAACCGCAGTCGAACCCTCTGCCGCTACTATATGCAGGGGATCTGTCGGTTCGGGGAGTACTGTCGATTCTCCCACGATGTGGATGCCAGGCCATCGGAGGAGGAGAAGGAGGATGAGCAGGTGGCCACCACCAGTGGCTACAGTCGGCAGCGGATGTGGGCCAATGCACCGGTCTTTGTGCCCAGTGCCAGGAAACTGAATCCTGCCGAGGCTGAGTCCCCCAAAGAGTTCTGTCCGCGTGGGGGACGATGTGTCCTGGGCAATAAGTGCCCCCATCGCATCCATCTGGAGCTGTGCGAGATGTGTCAGCTGTATTGCCTGCATCCGGATGATCTGGAGCAGCGAAGGGAGCACAATCGCGAGTGCCTGGAACAGCACGAACAGGACATGGAGCTATCCTTTGCCATAGCTCGTTCCAAGGACAAGATGTGCGGCATCTGTTTTGACACGGTGGTGGAGAAGGAGGGCCGCAAGGAGCGGCGCTTTGGCATCCTGTCCAAGTGCAATCACACCTTCTGTCTGGACTGCATCCGCCGGTGGCGTCAGGACAAGCAGTTCGAGAACACGGTGACCCGGGCCTGTCCAGAGTGCCGGGTCGCCTCGGATTTCGTCTGTCCCAGTGCCTTCTGGGTGGACACCAAGGAGGAGAAGGACAAGCTGCTCAGCGACTATCGCACTGCTCTGGGCGCCAAGAACTGCAAGTACTTCCGGCTGGGCAGGGGAAGGTGTCCCTTTGGCAACAAGTGCTTCTACAGACACGCCCTGCCCGATGGCACCGTCATCGATGTGGGCCAACCCAGGCGTTACCGAAAACCACACCGTGATTCTAGACAAGATCGGGATCGGAATCGCGACTGGGATCGGGATGATCTCATGGACTTTCTCGACTACTATCCCTGGCGGATGGAAGATCAATTGGACCAGTATTGGCTCGACCTGTACTCAAGTGATTTCAACGATTTTTCCGATGGCTCAGGGGAGGATAACTAACTGAAAACAGGCCATGATTCCAATGGATGGCCGCTGGAAACCATTAACAGCATACACATTTGGACTCAGTGTCCCAGAACAAGCCCCCCAAAACAGACGAACATGCATCTTAAACCACAGTCAAAATTACACTACAAATTCAGTTAAACATCAAATTTTGGTTCACATCATTGTCTCACTTAATGTTACAAATTGTCCGTACCTGTATTAAATTAAATCACACTTAAATCAAAACATAAAAAAATTTAACATTAATACATCAGCTTACATTTGAAAAGTAAAAATAAAATAAAAAAAATGCAGCATTTATACTGTGTTGTGTTTTTTCCTATGTCGAAATCAAAACATAAAACAAATCGAAGAATGGGATAAACCATTTAGAAGAGCTTGAAAATATTTAATTACCATTGATTATTTTTCTATCATATTTTTAAAGTTTCTAGATCCAATACAGCACATATAAAAACAAGGAAGAACGCTATAGTCGAGTACCTCGACTATCAGATACCCGTTACTCAAAGGGAAATGGAGATATGCAAGCAGCAAAGCGAAATTAAAATGCGCCATCTACCGGCGGTAGACAGATTTAAGCGTTATGGGCGTTAGAGTGGGCGTGGCAGAATTATTTTTGGATCAATCGATAGGTATTGACGACACCAATACATTTCAGTTAAAATTTTTTATCTAGCATGCAAATTGTGGGCGTCACAGGCTTTCGCGGTTTGTGGGCGTTTAAGTGGGCGTGGCAAACTTTTTTTTAGGTGAATCGATAGGTTTTGATGAGAACAATACATTTCAGTTAAAATTTTCTATCTAGCATCAAAACTGTAGGAGTTACAGTTTTGGGCGGTTTGTGGGCGTTAGAGTGGGCGTGGCAGTCTACTGAAACAAACTTGCGCTGCGTAAGAAGCTCAGGAATCTGTACGCCAAATCTCAATAGCCTAGCTCTCATAGTTTCCGAGATCTCAGCGTTCATCCGGACGGACAGACAGACGGACAGACGGACAGACGGTCAGACGGACAGACGGACAGACGGACATGGCTAGATCGACTCGGCTAGTGATCCTGATCAAGAATATATATACTTTATGGGGTCGGAAACGCTTCCTTCTGCCTGTTACATACTTTCCGACGAATCTAGTATACCCTTTTACTCTACGAGTAACGGGTATAAAAATATAAATCTTTTAGGTCTATTAGTAACCTATTTTTAGTGTTTTTTCTCATCTTAATTTGGGAAGCACTATATATTTATCAGTCACAATTAGCAAACTACATATCATGCCCTTGTAATTTATCAAAGGAATTTTGTTTACCAATTAAGACAGAACCAAAAGAAGGTATTTCCTTCAATTTCTATTCCCCCAGTTGATTAAAAAAACACTCTGGATCTCATTTCTGAAAATACCTTTAATTAAACACTTAATTTGCTGGTGCGACCGAGTAGATGCCCTTGGATCTGATGGGTCCCCATTTACCAGCTGTTCACATCGTACCACTCGGAGGAGGAGCAGAGGTTGCCGAACTCGCCGTTGGTGCCCGATCCGCATCCCTGGGCAGCCCAGTCGCAGCTGGAGTAGATCTGGCGACCGATCATGTTGGTGGTGGCGTAGTTGCAGGCCACCAGCACCTGGTTCCATCCATCGCGGTTGTACTTGGCAGCAGCACAGCCCACACGGGTGTTCCGCTCCGACATCATCACGGTGAAGTGGCCGATGGCCCTGTGGGAGGAAGAGAAGGGTTCCATTCCTCATCATAACTTAGTTCACCAAAAAAACTGAAACGCAGCTTTTTATAAACCTATAATTCCCCTTTGTATCTAATCTTATTCGAGGAGTTCTATACAAAAAATTGGATTTTTGTTTGAGAGCTAGAAAACCAATTTCCATTTCCGCTAAGATTAAAATTTTAAAAGTTCCATTGTTCAGCGACAAGATAATTAAACTAATTAAGTTTTTTAGATAATTGATATTGGATTCACCGAAATCGTCTCTACGACATGGCACTTGAGATCGATAGAGGTTCGACAATTTGCCTACAGCTCTGTCACTAGAAATTATCAACTTAAAGTCGCAAAAAGCTAATTCTGAAGTAAACTTTTCTTTCAATTAAAATAAAATCTGAATAGTGACTTTTTTTCACACCTTGGATTTTTTAAAAACCCATTTAAGCACACAAAAAAATAAGGGATTCTAGAAGCCTTCTTTTGTAAGGAGTTCATATTCCCATAAGATACTATAACAGATCTACTCAGAGATGATTCAAACTCTAAAGTAAACTTATCTTTCAGTTAAAAGAAAATCTGAATAGTGGCTTTTTTCACTCACTGAAACACCTTGGATTTTAAAAAACCCATTTAAGCACACTAAAAAAAAGGGATTCTAGAAGCCTTCTTTTGTAAGGAGTTCACATTCCCATATGACATCCAGACTATAACTGATCAACTCACGGTCCGTTGTAGCCGGAGGGGTAACCTCCAGAGATAATGCCGGCGTTGGAGTTGTGCACCTCGTCGAACCACATCTGCACGCTGTTGTCCAGGATGTAGCCCATGTCGGGCAGGTCGCCGGAGTAGGCCTGCCAGGCGAGGTTCTGGCCGGAGTACTTGAAGGCGTCGGTGTTGTGGCAGCTGTCGTGCACCATGTTGCACTGGCGGACGTTCAGGGAGGCCAGGTAGGCCAGCTCATCATCCCACTCCATGGTGGCCATGCGGCAGGCGGCATCGTGGCTGGGATCATACCCACCGGCGATGTAGTTCCTCTTGTCGTTGTGCGAGTGGACGAAGACCCACTTGTAGTCGTCGTTGATGTCGATCAGCTCGGCATCCCCAGGACAGCTGCTGTCCCACCAGTTGCTGTGGCCACAGGCGATGTGGGAGCCACCGTTGCAGATGTCCCACGAACAGTAGTCGGTGGCCTGGGCCAGGCCAGAAGTAACCAACAGAATGGCGAGAACGGCGAGTTTCATATTCACTTCGATTCGATTGCCAGCCAAAGGGAATCTATTTGGTGGCCGGATCGCCAGTGTGCTTATATGGCGGTTCCATCGGTTCTATCGGTCAGCCACTTCCTCCGACACAAGTGCCACTGTAAATCATCCCCGTGGTTCCTTAGTCTTTCACCCAACCCCCAGTCAATCTAATCTTAAACAAATTATAATCTTATATTTACGACGGACCAGACTTTCGGCACAATCTATTTTGCCAACTAACCTGATTGATATACAAATCGTTGAGGAAAAGCTATACAGCTATCATTATTAATAATATATTATTTATAAAGAATTAGATCTTAAAAAACTTAGCTGTAAGGCTTTTTAAAAGGCCTACATGAGTTGTAAAAGTATTTGTTATATTTTTTTTCAAATATGTATTTACCAGTTTCAGTTCCGATCAGGTCATAATAGAAAGTTGGGGTAGGTCGCCATCCCCGTGCAGACTTTTTTGACCAGCAATCTTTGCTTCTTATCAGAACTGATTGAGGATCAATTTATGGAGCATTTCCTCAGTCCACAGTGCTCGTGCAGAAAAATATGGCCCCATTTAAATAAAACCACCGGACATTTTATTAGTTTGTTTTCATTTCTTATCAAAAAACAGATACAAGAAATTAAAAATCAGCAAAAAAGAAAACTTTTTGAGTTTTATTAAGATATTTTTGCATAAGACTTGTATGTTTATAAACATCTTTATAAATAGTCCACGTCTTCTTGGGTTTTAATCTTATCAAATCCAAGCATACATTTACTGGAAAAAACAATAATGCTTAGTTTTTTTTACAACCAAGTCGAGCCTTCATCTAAAATTATAAATCTTATCTTTAAGAGACAACAACAGAGATAAGCTCTTAATATCTGAAAAGTTCCGGTGAAGCCACAATAAATCCTTATCTAAATTCGCAATTATGTTTGTTGTTAGGCATACACTCAGAAAAAACTGTGGTGTTTTTTTCCTTTATAATTTGATAGCGACCCAATGAAAATTTTCTTGATTTTTCACCAAATAAATGGATTGGTTTTATAAACTCGAGGCAACCTAGAGAAAAAAGTATTTATTGCTTAACAATACTTTTTGAATTTTTAATATGATACCTATACATATTCATATCCAATTAATAATAAGAAAGTAAAAACAAATAATATTAAAGTTAAGATTTAGTAAAGAAAACCTGATTACTTGAATATAATTTTTAATTGTTTTATTTATTATAAACAAAAGTTTGCCAATTAATGAGATTGTTTATACCTCGCTCGAGTTCCGGAAACAGGTATAAATATTCTTAACATTTTCCTTATAGCTTGTATAGAATAATTGTCAAAATTGTAACAGTAAAATACCATTGACTGAAACTCGAAATAGCCCGACTGTAGCTTCTATTTATTGGTTCCCATTGGTTCAGTAGAAAAGGTTGTTGACATCGTACACTTCCTTGGAGCTGCAGAGGAACTTGTACTGGGGATTGGTGCCAGTGGTGCACTTGCTGGCCGGCGTGGAGCAGGAGCTGTACATCTTGATGCCCAGGACATTGGTGGCCGCGTAGTTGCAGGCCAGGAGGAAGGCCTTGTATCCCTGGCCAGCCACCGAGTAGGTGGCCGCGGCACAGCCCATCTCAGTGTTGCGATCGGCCACCAGGACGGTGAAATGGCCAATGGCCGGTCCATTGTAATTCGAGGGATAGGCATCGATGTAGGACTGCTTGGTGTACACAGCCTCGCCGTACCACATATCGACGCCCCACTGCACATAGTGGGTAACGTTCAAAGGATTGTAGTAGCTCATCCAGGCCAGATTCTGGCCAGACCAGTCGAAGGCGTCTGTGTTGTGGCATCCGTCGTGGCGCATCGCACAGCTCTTCACGTTCAGGGAGGCCAGGTAGGCCAGCTCGTCGTTCCACTTGATGGTGGCCATCCGGCAGGCGGCACTCAGGTTGGCGTTCAGTCCGCCGGCGATGATGTTGCGGTACTCGTTCGTCCTGTCCACCAGGGCGGCCTTCTGCGCCGTGGTCAGGGACACCAGGGCGGCGTCGGTGGGGCAGCTGGAGTCCCAGGCCTGAAATACGAAAAAATAAAATAAAATAGTTGGTAATAATTAAAAGTTTTTTTAAATATTTAATATCTTTTTTTCTTATTTAAAAAACAGATCTTTTTTATAGATAGAGAGGTAGACAGATAGATAGGTAGATAGATAGATTGATAGATAGATAGATAAATATACAGATTGATAGATAGATTACAAATAACACATAAATAAATAATAAAATGCGGAATTCTAAGTATATTATATTAAAATATTAAATATTCCCTTTCAAAAAACATATTTTCAAGTATGACATATCTTTAATCTTCAAATAATATCAAAAGCGCATAATTTTTTTATTAAAGCATATGGTTCAAGGAACTTTTTTTTGGATTAACTTAACTTAAAAATAACACTTTCTACATTATTATAAATATGTGACTAACGAAAAATAAATTCTCCTGAAAATATATTTTTTTTAATGACGGATATAGGAAATCGGGAGAAAAATTTTTCTTTTAAATCAAATATCTTTATTAAGCGCTATAAAAAGCTAAACGGAAGATACGTTCTAAATCCCAAGTGAGTTGTTTGATGGTCTGAGTCGCGGATCAAGGATTTAGTTGTAGGAGGAGTTTTAAAAAGTCCAAAGTTTAAATTTTTCCATAAACCATTGTCATATTCTTTTTTAAAATGATCCCTAAGTAACATAATATTTATTAATTTTATTTTCATATTATATCATGCAATTTGAATGTATTGTTTTAAATATTATGTGCATATATTTAATTTTACTCCCTTTTTTATCAGTGCACCTAAATTCTTATCCCGATGAAGAGAGGACTCACCCCGCTATTGCCGCATCCCAGGTTCTTGGTGCTGCCGCAGCTCTTCTTGCAGTAGTCGGTGGCGGAGACGAGCCCCAGTGCCAGCGAGAGGCTGACGATGATCACGGTGTTGCGCATTTCTATTCCCAGACCTGATTGCTGGCCATTCCCTCGGGGCGACGGGCTTTTATGCCAACCGCAGTGGAGCAGTTTTTCTTTTATCAACATTTGATTAAATATTTACCGCCAGAGTGTCTCATTTGTCCCAGCCGAGTTTCAGTGGGTGTGCGCAACTATATGTAATGGGTAATTTTCACCCCCAGCACACCCACCTCCTCCAAAAGACGTCATTCGATCGGTGGAAGAAAAACAACCGTGTCTGCGGGAACCACCGGAGAGTTCTTCGCCCCTGAGCTGGTACATCACTGATTGTTTAAGACACAGCCAAGATGTTATGAGAAACAAGTTAATGAGTAATTAAAAAATAATTATCAGGGATGACAAAAAAACAGAAGTTCCATTGTTAATCTATAGGAATCGCGAATGATTATGACGAAACACATACAGAAAACTGAAACTCTTTGAGATATGGAAAATACCAGTGACTAAATGTCAATAAACAAATGAAATTGGGTCTTGACGTCTTTAATAAGGTAAACAAGAATTGCTTAGGAATATTAGTTTATAAAATGTTAGCATACTTTTCAAAACCAGGGACTGTAAAAAATAAATTATGATCAACCTACAAAGAAAAGAAAAAAACCATCTATCGTTTTCCACCATGGTTTTATAATGTTTAATTTTTATATTAGTTTCTCAAAAATATTGTTTTTTTTAATATTCTAATATTTTTGGCCCAAAATAAAGATTATTTTTAAGCTTTATTTTCTTTGGTTAAAAGTAATCATTATTTTTTGGTCTTTAAAATAAAACTCATAATTATATGGGAACCTCTTAAAAATATTAAAAATAAGCCCTTATAACGCGATTTTTAAGAAAATCTTTGTATATTTTATAATATTACTTCCAACCAGCATCGTTTCCTGGACAGAAGTACAAATACAGTGAGTACACATTGCAACAAACAGAAAGTCCGGCACGTGTGGTGATGACCATCCGCCAGTCAAATGTTAGCCCAACTGCAAATTCGACAAAAGGCCATATATCAAGTGCAAAACCATTATTTGCCCAGTTGTTCGTAGTACCATTAAATTTGCAAAACAAAAGACTTTGATTGTGGATTTTACCAAAGGAATATTTAACCAAACATCTAAATTGGTGCATGTCAATAAGTGTGTTGACTAAAATTTGAAGAATAATGTTTACCAAAGAAACAATTGCTCTTAATTGTTTATTTTAAGAATGGTTCTAAACAACCAAATAAAAGAAAACACAAGTTTATATTTTTGTATATATATATTTTTTTGACATATTTGATATGCTGACATTTTATGTATTTCTAGTAGGGTTTTCTTGGTTTTTTATGCAAACAGGGCCTGCTCCATTTCCCAAAATTTTCCAATTCTTAGCTCTAAAAGAATCACTCCAATTTCCGCTTGACATTGTGCTTATTTAATTGATGGCACTATAATTTACTTTTCACGCGGAATCTGGAACAGCCCCGATAATGCAATTCTGCCAACTTGATAATTGCATTTACCCATCAAAATGAGTCGACATTCGGCCTCCGGATTTTGTAATCCTTCATATAAGGCCTTGCTTACCCACCATTTCTTTGTGTAGATATAGACAGAGATGGCTGCCATTGCATATAATAATTAATTCTTTGCCATTTACCATTTACCATCTTTTAGTACAGAAAAATAAATATACTTGCGCAAGTCCAACTTCCTGTCTGCCTCTGTGTACAATTATATGAATGTGTGTATACAATATATATAGATATTTATTCCAGCTGGTTTTCAGTTTCAATTTTTATATGTACATATATATTGAATGTATACAGATCTGCGCTATTTGTGTTTATATTTGCATAAGAAGTTTATCTGTGGGCTGTTTGCAGCTCTTGCAGTAGCTGTGGTTGTTGCTTTAATCGCTTAATGTACTTGCGTTCGTGTAGTTTTCTTATTTGTTAATAATATTTGACGCTCCTAAGGCGACTTAATAAATTTCACACACAAAATATGGATTTGTTTGCTTACATTTTCCTTATTTATCATTTGCACAGTTGTACGAGATTTTGTTTTCAGTTTTCATTTTGCTTGGTGTCGTTTGGTTTATGTTTCTGTTTTTATTTTGGTTATCAAGGGTCGGGGCAACAATATCAAGAATATCTTTTTGTCTCTGCATCTTAAGTTCCTAGTAATTGTAAATCATATTCATATATATATATATATATCTTCATTTGAATATCCTATGTACAGATCTTACAGACGAATACACTGAAGTAGCATAGCAAATGAAATTTGACAATTGTGCAGCAGCCAACAGAGTGGAGTACACTTTGAGTCACTCCGTCTAGCACTCTGGAACTTATACTTAAAAATTCGCAACATCATATTTGGAATACAAAAGCTAAAAGCTAGGTTTAAGCCAGTTTGTGGTTGAGCCCAAGAGTAGGCAACATATAATATATGGGGTCAAAGACGCTTGGCGTGGCTAAGGGAGCGTGGTAGTTCGAAAAATAAAGAAACAAGACGTTACGTATCTTTTACAAGGGACTCTAATACGATTATCCCAAGTAATGATCTCAATTGATGAGTTTTTTTTTGCAATTACAATTTAAAATTCGAATTCAGGGTGGGCGCAGTCTATGGGCAAATTTATAAGCCTTACAATAATATCGGGGGAAATATTTATAACATTTTGCTTTATTTACAACTTGTCATGCATTGGTTGTGGCTTCATGTGATAGGCCAAATCTTTGCTTATTCGATTATCAAAATGATACATATACATACATATATATTCGTACATTAATAACATATGGGTTGGATGAGGCATTCCCTCCTTCCAATTAGAAAGTCCTTAGGAGGACTAAGCGCACTAAATGATGAATTCATGGATTAGCATTGGATATCTCAATTGGCGGCTAAATATCAAGTATAATTTCGATTTCTCTCACGCGGGATAGTAGTAACTGGAACGCTTAACTGGGCCAATTGGCGACGGCTAACCAATGACTACGTGTTTACTTGTTTACATATAGAGTTTTCTTGCATACACTATATATATATATATATAGGCATTATGGAGCCACATTAAAGTAAACGGGCTTACATCTAGGGGTGCCATATATAGAGCAGCTTTAAGTGCCTCTGCTTCTTTACATACATAAATATATCATATATATATATATATCTGTCACCTATATTCTAGCTTTAGTTTACTTTAGTTTAGGTTGGTTTATTGTAAATTATTAGACACCATTTGCATATAGCAATAACAACGTTTTGAGTGTTTAACGCTCCATCATCAATCTTTACTCTCTCAGCTCCTCAGCGGACTGGAACTGAACCGGAGCTTGGATTTGGGTTTGAGTCTGCTGCAGATGCTGCTGCTGCTGCTGCTGCTGCTGTTGCGGATGCTGCTGATGCTGTGCCGGCGATGGGGGCTGTCCAAATTTGCTGGAGATCTTGTGCGAGGCATTGACAATGGCCAGCTCGTGCTTGGAGTCCAGGTCGCAGTCGTAGAGGCCGCTCAGCGAGTCCAGGCTGAGCAGGCGGGAGCTGGCCCGGCTGGACACCGAGGTGTCGTCCACATCCGGCGCGTTATACAGCGAGTTAACGTCCGAGAGGGCGCCCTCGGCATCGGTGAGCCCAGCTTCGTTCAGCAGCGAGATGTTCTCCAAACCGGGCTCATCCGTGATGTAGCCCGTGGATTCAGCTCCCCCTAAAGGATTGCAAAACATATAAGTGTATTTTTTACAGGAAAATGGTATTCCATGGCTGTCCTCACCTGTGGCTTCCTCACGACAATCGTCGTCCGACCACTCCGATTGGCTCTCCAACGGATTGGAGTCCATGGACTGGTGGTTAAGATGGGCCGCCCCGTATTTCAGCTCGTCGTTTATCACATTGGCCTCCAGGCCGCGCATGCTGCCGTTCGTCAGCGGCGCTGCCTCCTTGTGCCCTCCATTCCGGTGGTCCTGGTCCTGCTCCTCATCCTCATCATCATCCTCGTCGTCGTCGGCGTCCACTTCCTCCTCCTCGCCATCGCCATCTGCCCGCTTGTGGTTGAGGTCCGGCTTTTGTAGGCGCTTCTGTCGCACATCGCGACCCACTTCATCGTCCTCGAACTCCTCATCGGCCAGGTTGTCCTCGGTATCGTCACGCTCCTCCTGCTCCTGCACATGGTTGTAGCGCTGTTGTTGCTGCTGCTGCTGCTGCCTCTGTTGGTGGTGATGGTGGTGGTGATGGTGGTATCGCGGGTGGCGCTGTTGCGACTGCGCCTGCACCGCTCCATCCAGGCCGTCCAGGCTCTCGTGGCTGTACTGCAACTCCTTGGAGCGCGGTCGCTGACGATGCGGACGCGTCTGATGCTGCTGCTGCGAATGCGGCACATGATGCACATGGCAGCCATTGAGCTCCTTGGCCGAGTGCATCTCCAGCATGGCCAGCACATGCATCTGGTTGCGGTTCTCGTGCAGGATCTCGCAGGATTCCGTGTCCGAGGTTTGCCTGCAAGGGTCACAAGCGCTCCGTAATATAAGGTTGTAAGTACACAAATCATTATTATATAATCTACAACTTAAAATAACATAGGGCCACCCGCACACCGGTTATGAAAGCGGCGAACCTACACCATATGACATGGAATGGAAGCTGTCATCATGGTCAGTGATGGGAATAAATCTTAAGTTGGGTGTATTATCAAGAAAAATAACTGAAACAAGCAAAATATTTGATATTAAAGCTGATTATAATAAAATAATAACCAAATATTTAGGTATACATAAACCTTTGGTTTGATTGCAATACACCCGTCCTACCATTCCCATCACTGATCATGGTCTACTCACATTTGGCTTGACTCCGATGGGTTCTTGTTGCGCGTTATCTCCTTGATGGCCTCCAAGCCCACCGGGTGCTTGGCGATCATGAAGCTGCTGCTGCCCGGCAACTTGCCGCCGGCCAGGAGCTCGTGATCCGCTTGGGGATGCTGATCCGACTTGTGGTGACTGCTGTTGTTGTTGCCACTGTTCGAGTTGCTGCCGCTGCCGCCGCTGAGATTGCCATTGCTGCTGCCGCTGCCACCGCTGCCATTGCCCACCGCCGATCCTGATCCGGATCCCGAACCGGAAGCGGTCCCTGCGGCACCATGCCCATTGACGGAGCTCAGCCTGCCATTGCTGAGGGAGTAGCTCATCTCCCGGCTGCCATTGCTGGCCGTGTGATCCGTGGTGGAGATGCCACCCGCTGCCGTCGTCGTCGTCGAGGTGGCCAGGCAACGGGCTCGCGAGGATTCGTTGAGCAGACGCTGCAGTTCCCGCTCGAAGGGCGACTTGGTGGGGATGGGTATTACGCCCGTTCCAGCTCCCGCTCCCCCTCCCGCCGCCGTTCCCGCTCCCGCAGCTGCCTTTTGATAGTCAAAGCTGCTGCAACTGTCGCCCTTGTGCTGCGTGTTGCTCGTCGTGTTGCTGGTGGTGTGGTGGCCCTGGCTCTCGGTGGTGGAGCTCAGCTCGAAATCGTGCAGGTGGGCCATGTCAACGACCGGTGAGGTGGGATCCACCTGAATGTCGCAGGGGTAGAGCCATTGCAGCGGATTGACCAGGCCGCCGGCGGGCAGGTGGTAGCCATTGTTGCGGTGCTGCAGGTGGCCGCCATTGGGGATGCGCGGCGAATCCTCGTCGCCATCGCCCTCGCCCTCGGTGGTCTTCGAGTAGCTCTCGTCGGAGCTGCTCATCGAGGGCGAGTGTGGCCGCGAGCTGAGGTCGTCCGTGGAGGACATGTCGCGGCTCTCCTCCAGCTCCGCCGGCAGCCTCGGCAGCGGCTTCATGTACGTCCTCAGCGCCGGCTTCGGCGGCAGCTGCGGCTGCTGCGAATACATGGCGTACTGTCGCTGCGAGGGATGTGGTTGCTCCTGGGTGGGATGTGGCTGCTGCTCCTGGGATGTGGCAGGATGCTGTGGCCGCTCCTGCTGATGCTGATGCTGCTGTTGATGCTGCTGCGACAACATGGTGTGGGGAGAAGTGTAACGTGGTGGCTCGTACTTTGGCGCATGCTGCATGGGCATGATCTGGGGGCGTGGTTAGTCGGAGATGAGCAAGCGAGAGAAAGATAGATGTGCGGTCATGCAAAGAGTGGACACAGAGAGTTAGACACATGGTACACACAGATATAGATATAGGGATTGGATATTCGGGGGTAGATCGGTGGGCAAGCATCAAGAACAGACTGGCAGGTAAAAGTCAATACAATCAATGGCCAAATTCTATAACCTATGCTTTATACATTTATCTTGAGTTAAATTATACATATATATCTAACAAAAGAAAAGGTTCAGAAGGTCTTAAAGTATATCTCACATTAATTTTAAAAATGTATCTTAATGATAATGACTTAGTCATCTTGTTTTGCAAGCGAAATTAATAACTTGAGATCAATAAAATAGTAAATGTAATTTAATCCTTCAACTAAACTAAAATTTCATAAACTTTTAAATTTGTATTATACAAATTAAATTATCATATAAAATGTTATATTTAGTTTAGGTTTTATATTAGAATCAACTGAAGAATAATTGGCCCCAGTTTCAAATATATATACATGCAAATCTGTCCTTGTTCTTAAGTGTTAGATACGAATGGGATGGATATGGGTCTTGGTTCGGTTCGGTTTGGGTCTGGCTCTGGTTACTGGTTACTGGTTTCTGGTTACTGGGCAGGTTCTGAGGCACTTGGAGGCGGGACAAGGCTGCGCTGGCTGTTCAGAGGAGGATCTCCTTGCTCCAGAGCAGGTGGTCAGCGTCTTCACTCACCTTGGCTACCGGCGCGACGCTGCTGGCATGCAATAGCGGCTCGCTCTCCCGGCATTGGCCATAGCCCAGGCTGGTGAACGATGGCGGGTGCTGATTCTGGCTCTGGTTCTGGCTCTGGCTCTGGTTCTGACTCAGGTTCAGGTTCGAATGGAGGTGATGCGGTGGTGGATGATGGCCATGCTGGTTTAGGGGCGGCACGTAAGTGCGATCGCGATCTCGCCGGGGCATCATGAAGCAGTCACCGCCTAGCACGCCAGCCCCCATTCCCATTCCCACACCCATTCCCATACCCATTCCCGATAGGTCGAGGCTGCCGTGATGCGGCGGCAGCTGCTCCATCTGCGGATGCCGGCCACCGGAAGTCGGGTTCTCAATAATATTAAACTCGCGCAACATTACCGAAGGAACGGGCTGATGCTGGAGCTGGAGCTGGTGGTGGAGTAGGATCTGGTGCTGCACTGGAGCCGCCACAGCTGGCGGGAGGGGATGCGAGTGCGGGTGTTGGTGCTGGAGCTGGTGTTGGTGCTGGAACTGGAGTTGGTGGTGCTGGAGCTGGAGCTGGGGCTGGAGGGGAACCGCCACTGCAGCCGACGGTGTCGTCGTGGCCACCATGAAGCCACCGTGCTGCTGCTCGCCATTGTGACCATTGCCGTTCTCCCGGATATTGGGCAGACCGCCGTTGGCCATGAAGATCGGCTGCTTCTGCAGCTTGCTGTTCAGGCGCTGCTGTTGCTGCTGATGCAGATGGTGGTGCACCGGAGGCGGTGGTGCTGGCAGCGGCAGCGGATCCAGCTGCTTGTGCTGGTGCTGCAGCAGCAGCTGTTGCTCCTCGCCACCAGTACCGGCATACAGGTGACCGTTCTCCTTCTTGCTGTAGGTATCGGTATTGACGCGATTCTCCGGGAACTGTGAGACCTTCATGTAGTAGTCAGGTGCATGGAGACTCTGCGGCAGGGACATGGCGTTGCGCACCTCGCCGTTGAGCGACTTGTTGCCACTGTCGCACAGGAAATAGGTGACCATGTCGCCCTTGCCCTTCACCTTGATGGTGCCGCGACAACTGTAATGGGATTGCAGTTAGTAAATAGAATGGAACTTGATAATTTGATAGCACACACTCACCGGAACTCAAAGTGCGAGCCCACCAGGCTGTCGACCACCTCCTGGGTCACCTGCGAGTAGCCAGGTACTCCGGTGGAGTCCATCCTACTGGCCACGTTCACCGTGTTGCCCCAAATGTCGTACTGCGGCTTTCGAGCTCCAATAACGCCCGCCACCACAGGACCAATATTGATGCCTATAAGACATATACAATTAGAATAAGAACTCCTAGAAGATATCCTAAGCTCTAGGCCTATAATACCCACCCACGCGCAGCATAAAATTGTTGTACGAGTGACTGTTGATCTCCTGCAGAGAATGTCGCATGGCCTTTACATATTCAATGAGGGCTGTCATGTGGCGACGCACTGAGTTCGGATCGTTGGGCTGGATCTTGTACTCGGGAATAAGACCCACGACGGCCATGTAGGTGCTGCCCACGGTCTTGATCTTGTCGATGCCCCGGAAGCGGTCCTCCTTGAGCAGCTCATCAAAGTCCGCGATGATTTCGTTCAGCAGGCGGAGGCACTCCAGACCCTGATCCGAGCCGTCCATTTCGGTGTAGAACTCGTTGAAGTTGGGCACGCTGGCAAAGATTACGCCCACCTTGGCATAGCTCTGGTGGTAGAGCTCCTGGAAAAGGTAAAACAAGATCACAGGTTAGAAAAACATGTTGGAATCATGGAGAGTGCTATACAAATCACTGGGTTTTTGAAAACACTTTTAAATTTCACTTTAGGTGTCTAAAAGTATGCAGTAAATATTTAAAGTTTCTATTTCTAAATGAATTTATTGCAGTCAGGAGTTTAAAACGTATTGTTGCATACTTCTAGACACTTAAAATAACACTTATAACTGATTTTAAAACCGTATTTATTTGTGTGGCACCCCCTTTCAAAATAGGTTTGGAGTTACAAGTAAATCTTATTTAAGGTATCTAAAAGTATGCAGCGAATGAAGGATAGTTGTCTTTCTGAATGAACTCATTGTAATTCATTGTAGCACACTCTTAAACACCTTAAATTGGGTTGACAAATTATAAAGATCTCCGTTTATCTTCCTCCCATCGAGTCACATCAATCTTTCTAAATCCGTCAGTGGGTCAGTGGGGACAAGGTGATTCTCACCATGTTGTTGCGGAATTGCGCATCGAGGAAATGTGCAGCCACATGAGCGGGCAGCAAATTGTGCAGAATGCGCTTGTTCGACTCCTGCAGCACGTCCATCTCCTTCTTCTCCTGCGAGGCCTGCAGCTGCCAGAGGAAGTCCAGCCGGGCAGTGCCCTCCACCAGGCGGCCGTGCACCAGAATGGCAATCATAAAGATGGCGATGCGGGCCAGCGAGATCAAGTGAAGTGGAATCGAGGCGCTGGAGGGCGACAATATCGTTCGATAAGAGTGAATGCATTAGTGGATTTGTGGGGCGACCCAAAATTAGCGTTGACCTACTTGACCCGGTTGTCGTAGCACTCGAAGATGTTCTGATGCGACAGCTCTATGAACAGGGCATAGATGGTGCCCATTCCCAGCACCAGCAGCGACTTGAATATGATGGGCAGCCTGTGGACGACGTGGCAATCAAGGATTTGCATTTGGGGCTAGAATCATGATGAACTCACCTGAGGAACACGGACACAGATAGGAAGGCAAAGGCTGCCGATAGGGACACGTACTGGGGCAGCGAGCACTTGCGATGCGAGTCGTTCTGGAAGGAGCTCGTCGCATTGCCCCCACATGGATGGTCCGAGACACACGTAAACTGGGGGAAAATGGGGGGATTAGTATTTATTTATACTGCGTTCCCTGGGTAATCTAATTTATATACCCCTGCTGAGGTTATTACACTCTTAGTCAGAAGTTAGAATGCAGTTTGAATTTTAATATATGACGATGTGATGCATCACTTATAAAAAATTGTTTTCAATGAAATATTTGACAATCCTCTCCTGAAGAATTCGCGGTTAATTTTTTAGATTTCCGTGCTTAAGGACCCCAATGCAATAATATGTGAATTTTAGAACAGCAGAGTATGATCTAGCATGAAAAAAAGTGCAGTTTTATAAAAACGCGAATTCTTTAGGCCACGTAAAATATTACACAAAAACGCGAATTCTTCAGATTTTCTTATTTACTCACCACATTCACCTGTCCCACGGAGTAAATGAGAATGACCGTGAAAATAGTGATGGCCATGCGCAGCGAGAAGCTCTCCGAGATGTCCCAGATGATCCACTTGAGTCGCACGGCGAGCAGGAGCATCAGGATGGCGCTCACCCAGATGAAGGCGAAGAGGAAGAGCAGCAGCAGGATGAGAGTGCGCGGCAGAGCGGTCACCTGGAGCGCTGCACCCAGGATGAGAAGCAACAGCGAGCAGCCCATGGCCGTGGTGAAGCCCAGATCGAAATCCTTGTGATACTCCCGCTCCATGTCGCTCTGCCGGAAGCGCAGGGTCAGCCGATCCACATGCTCCGACTTGTCGCAGTCCACCGACCGGGCATTGATCGCCTGGGAGAGGAACCGGTTCACCCGATTGGTGGGCTGATGGTGGGCTGCCACCGAGTGCCGCTTCCGGAATGGCCTCTTGAACTTGTCCGCCACCTTTGACTGCGGCTGCCAGCGTGGGATGCCGATGCCGATGCAGAGATGCGGGATGAAAAGCCATGCAAGAGGGAGCAAGAAGTAGAAAGACATTCGTTAGTTGTGGTTGTGGTCCCCGGACGAGCACTTCTTTGGCTGGATGGCTGGCACTTGAACTGGCTGGTTGAGTTGAAGATTCAAGAGTTAAGATTGAAGATAGAAAGCGCTACGTATGTGCGTTAGGGGATGTGGCCACGACTCACTACATGCTGAGAACTGAAAGGCAGCGAGCAGAGCTGGGACATTGCTGGGCAACTAGGCATGCTGGTCGGGATCTGAGGATGGACTCGGAACATGCTCTCCGGATGTCGAATGGTCAGTGATAATGCGGAGCTGCGGCTGGCATTTTAAAGCTCGATAATGACACTGAACCAGAAAAGAAAACTTTACCTAAGATCATACAGTTGGGATTAAAATAAAGGCAGAGTCACCTCTTTTCAACTTAAAAAATCCGATGTGTTTAGGTATACTCAGAATACTTTATATTACCATGCTTTAGCTAAGAAAGGGTTTACCTAATTTGTTTGTTTCTAAAAATGGGAGTGTTAAATGGAATATTTAAAATAATTTTGTAAACTAAATTGTACTGTAGTGATTAAAAGGAATACATTCTATTCACAAAAAAAAAAAAAACTCTTTATAGAATAGTTTTTTGTTCCAGTTCAATAAGATATGACTTTCTTTAAAATTATACACATCCAGTATATACATTTCATATAAAACCACAACGGATCTTAAAATATTTTGAGCAGAACTGTATATAATAAATTTTACTTTACAAGATGAATAATGGTATCTCCCTAGATATTTTTAAAAATCTAGTTGCTACAAATCTAAATACTTAATATTTTTAATAATTTCTTTCCTGGCTCAGTGTCTGGCAGCTTTAACGAAGCGAATAGGAACATAACTAGGCTTGACGAACTTTTGCCTGGAAGCCCTTCCAGATACAAATCTCGACGAAGACCAACGAAACATTTAACGAATGAACAAAGCACACTTATGAAGTAGTTACACTTAACACATTTATTGAACGAATGTAAATGGACGAAACACAAAGTGAAGGCCCCTCTTTCAAAGACTTGAGTTCTTATCTTAGACTAGATGGGAACTCAGTTCTTATGAAATGGGTCCTTGAACGAACGAACGCAGGAACGGTTTTGAACGATTGAACGAAAGTATAGAATGTATTTTTTTTTTGGCTGCTGCTCTGCTCACTTTATTGTTCTTGTGATTGTGCCTATGAATGCGACTAATCGTACTCGCTGTAGAGTTGGGATTTGTGCCTACGGTCACTTGGACACTGCCCCCACTGCCGCCACCGGCGATACCACCACCACCGGAACCGGAAATACCGCTGTCACCACCGCCGCCGCTGCCGACGACGCTGCCATAGCCCATGCCGTGCGGTGGCGGTGTTGCATGCAAGATCTTTTGCAGACGTATCACCTGGATCGGAGAAGTATACACAGTTTTCATGTAAGTTCTTATATTTACATTTCAACAAAGAGTCTTTCTTATCACTAGGCGTAAAATTAAACAGTAGCAAGAAGTACAAGATGGGTAAGTAGTATAGTTAGGGCGAAAAAAAGGAAACAATAACGATAGAAAGTGAAGAAGAGGCGCATCAAGTGAAAACCAAAATCAACATAATCTCAACGGAACTGAAGAATCGCTGGCTGCGGTAGCACTAATAAATAATGTGTGAGTATTGTAGTATTTTAGTACAAAATACAGCCTTATCAATAGGGGATCTCAACGGTCTATAAATGATATTGTCATCAGTAGCGAATACAATACCTATGGCTATATTTTCGATTTCAGAACCTATTTCTCTTGCCTTTTTTATAATCCTTAATATATATTACATTTTTGATGATCCATCTTTAGTTTCCCAATATTATATTACGAATGAAGTAAAAAAGTAAATAGGCAATATGTGTTCTAATAATTTAGTTTGTAGTAATTTAGATACTCATATAAGTCCTGTTCCCAAAACAATTCACAAGAATGTGTGTAATAGGTGTCTAAAAGTATGCTTTCAAATTTGTGTGTATCCTTTCAAGTGTTTTCAATGACAGAAGTTTAATTAATAAATTTACAAGATATCACCGCACAACACCGTTATACAACCGATGAATATATTTACACATCTATTTAATTTATGGCATATATACTTATACTTTCTACATTCAAACTACACACAACATCGACGCAAACGAATCGTTATACTACAAAATGTTAGTAGAGACAGCAGTACGGAATTACAATTGCTGATCTTGCTAAGCTAAGTATATAATCTTAAATGTATAGGAATAGATACATATGTTCACAATGCGACTACGAAAAGAAAAAGAGCCCACTAAATACGGAAAATCGAGAACCGATCGAGAACTTAAGAGGGGCAAGGGGCAAAAGCGCAACTCAGGAATAATGGTTACGGTTATCGGGTTTTCAACTGGTGGATATATAGAAATACTTAGACATGGGCGAGGCAAACTTACCGCATCCTGAAAGAAAACGAAAGGAAACAAATCAAAGCAAGAAATGAAAAGGAGTCTCGCCGTCTTCAAGCTACCCGATCTCTATCTATCAGATCTTTGTGTATCCCTGGGCTACGGATACAGTACGGAAAATGAAAAGCACACCAAGCCAGAACTCAAAACCACCGCCACAAAATAACTAGTTAACCGGAACCCAATCAACCCGACATCCATCGTAAACCACCCGGACATGCACAGAACTGGAGCTACGACAAAAGAATAGAACAGAACCGAGCTACAGGAACACGCAACTTTGGCAACATTGCAACTTCCAACTTGCAACTCCCACCTTGAAACTCCCGAGTCGGCTTTTCGATAGAGTGCTGCTGATCTTTGGCTGAACACCACTTACCTTGCGGGATCCCTTCTCGGAAACCTGAACGCTTCCGGCGTTCGCCTCGCAGGTGCTTCCCCGTGCCACGCCTCCTCCTCCACCGCCTCCGAGTTGCACTCCGCCCCCCAAGGCGCTGGCCGCCGAGGGGAAGGATCCGGTGGCTATGTTGGAGAAGGGCACCGGTTCGGAGAACTTGATCGTGTGCAGCAGCTGCATGACCACATTGGACACGTTCCGGAACGAGAGCTTCCGTCGACTTCCGATCGCCGAGCGAACTCCTAGGGTGTTGAGCATCAGCGGCTGTCAAAGAAACATGGAAACATGGTTTAGTAAAAGATATCATCTTCACTGTTCACTTTATATACATATTTATTGTTTTAAGCATAAAAAAAATAAAACTGGTCGTTTTCTCGAGTGACAGTTAAAGTAAGAGTTAGCTAACCGTCCGAAAAACTAATGACAAGATAACCAGCACTATCGTCAGTACAAATCCGTTGTCTCGCTTTCTGTTCTTTGTCTGAACGAGAATCAATAACATATTGCTGTTATGTTAAGGTTAAATTAGACTTCCACTTTATTGATTTGACAAGTAATTGACAGGAAGATCGAGTCCCTGTCAGATTTAGCTCTTACATATAATTTATCTGAACGAGAAACACTAACATATTGCTATTATGTTAAGATTAAAGTAGGCTGCTACTTAATTGACTTGACAAGTACTTGACAGGAAGATTAAGTCCCTGTTAGAAATAACTCTTACATATAAGTTATCTGAAGGAGAATCAATCATGTTAATATTTAACTAGGCTGTTACTTTACTGAATTGACAAATACTGAACAGGAAGAAAAAGTACCTGTTGTCACATTGATGTTTAAGAAAAAAACATTTCCTTAACCGGCACTCGAGAAACCGGCCCTATGAGATCTTTGATCTTATCGTGGAATAACCCCAAATAACCAGCACAGATTGAACTCACCTTGCGGCGATGTGGTGGCGGCACAATGAAGAAGGTATCCACGCCATGGTCTCGTAGATACGAGGACCGTTCGTCCCCGTGGCCAGCCTCCACCTCGTATTCGCCGGACAGGGAGTCCAGTGTGGCGCGGGTCACGTGCACCCGGCCGGGCTCCCCGCCCGACTCCATGTGATTGGCCAGGGTCACGTCGTTCGACCACACATCGAACTGCCACTTGCGGAGCCCCAGAACCCCGCAGAGCACCCGGCCCGTGTGGATGCCCACGCGCATGTTCAGGATGACGTCGGTGGCCTCCACCACGGTGCTGGAAACGAGGAAACGGGGAAAAAAGCCATTATGTGATTTCAATTAAAGTGCAACGAAAGAGCAATTCGAAAGCTCGTTAATTAATTACAGAAGACCGACAACAGAATAATGTAATGAAGCTTTGGCAAGCCAAAAGGACAATACTAAATACCACATATTGAAAACAATTTCTAGTAAAATACAATTCCCGTAATCAAATCAATTATACTATTAGAAATTGTCTTACGCACGGAATGAATTTGTTTTGTCATCGATTAATAAGTGATAATTATATCAAATAAGTTTTTGAGTTATTGTCTAAGTGATTTCTTATCAAAAGCGGATGACAGCGGAATTATTTTATTAATTTATCAATAAATACAAGGAATGACTCAAGTTAGTGCGCATGTACTTTAAAAGCCCCGTCGATCATGGTATATCAAATATATCAATATAGATACTCACGCAATGGCATCGATCATATCGAGTCCCATTTCCACGGCGCACTTGGCATGATCCTTTCGTGGTTCTGGCAATCCGGAGACACAATAATAACAGTCGCCTAGGATTTTAATCCTCAAACAGTGGTTGTCCTGGAAAAAAGGGTAGAGAAACAATTAAGATAAGTCAAGTAGGTGGTATATTTTTTTTAAAGAAAATATATTAGAGTGACAAACTCATAGAGGTAACCCACTTTAAAATAGGGATCCAAATACCCAAGATATAAAATTTATAAATCAGTATTGGGTTCAAGTTCTGGGCTCCAATGGAATTACGAAAAAATCAAACATGAAAATGTGTTAAAATGTTAACCCTCTTTGAAAACAAATATTTGAATGTAGATTATTAGAGAATTCAAATACAAACTCAAAGAGGTATTCTACTTCAAAATCGGAGTCCAATAACTCAAGTTATGGAATCTTGAAGTGCATATTTAGATCACCAATCTGAAAACCTTGGAAATAACGAAAAATCGAACATAAAAATGTGTTAAAATTTGGACCCTCTCGGAGAATAAATATTTGAATGTAGATTATTAGAGAATTTAAGCACAAATTCATTGAGGTATCCCACTTCAAAATCGGAGTCCAATAATTCGAGTTATGAAATCTTGAAGTGCAGTTTTGGGTCACCATTCTGAAAACCATTGGAAATAAGGAAAAGTCGAACATGAAAATGGGTTCAAATTTCACCCCTCTTAGGAAATTAATATTTAAATGTAGATTATTAGAGAATTTAAACACAAATTCATAGAGGTATCCCACTTAATAATCGGAATCCAATATCTCGAGCTATGAAATCTTGAAGTGCAGTTTTGGGTCACCATTCTGATAACCATTGGAAATAGGAAAAAATCGAACATGAAAATGGGTTAAAATTTGGACCCTCTTTGAAAAGAAATATTTAAATGTAAAATATTAGAGAATTTAACCACAAACTCATAAAGGTATCCCACATCCAAATCGGAGTCCAATAACTCAAGTTATGGAACCTTGAAGTGCATTTTTAGGTCCCCATTCCGAAAACCATTGGAAATAGAAAAAAATCGAACATGAAAATGGGTTAAAATTTGGACCCTCTTTGAAAAGAAATATTTGAATGTAGATTATAAGAGAATTTAAAAACAAATTCATAGAGGTATCCCACGTCTAAATCGGAGTCCAATAACTCAAGTTATGGAATCTTGAATTGCCGTTTTGGGTCCCCATTCTGAAAACCATTGGAAATACGGAAAAATCGAACATGAAAATGGGTTAAAATTTGGGCCCTCTTTGAAAACAAATATTTGAATGTAGATTATTAGAGAATTTTACCACGAACTCATAGAGGTATCCCACGTCTAAATCGGGATCCAAAAACTTGTGGTATGGAATTTAGAAGTTAAGATTTGGGTTCCCATTCTGGACCCCATTGGACATACGGAAAAACCGAACATGAAAATGGGTAAAAATTTCGACTCACGTTTAAAAAAAAGATTTTAATATAGAATATAAGAGAATTTAATCACAAACTCATAGAGATATGCCACTTCTTAATCGGGATGGAATTACCAAAGTTATGAAATTTAAAAGTACAGCTTTGGGTACCCATTCTGAAAGCCCTTGGAATTACGGAATAATCTAGCATGATCAGCATAAATTAGTTGATATTTTTAGGTATTTAATGACAATGAATATTAACTTTTGATTTACTCTTGTCTCCCGGTAAATCCCAACCCCTTTTGGGTCAACTTACATGGGCCAGCTGATCGAAGCGGCCGAAGAGCTCGTTGAGCAGGCGCACCAGTTCCTGGGCACTGCACTGCGAGGAGAGGACCGTGAAGCCAACGATGTCCGCAAAGAGGATGCTCACATTCTCGTGCTTCTGGATGTAGATGCGATGGAACTGGCCGGCCACCGGCGACAGGATGTCGTTCTTCATCTGCATGGCCACGTGCTGGGGCAGGACCGACAGCAGGAGTCGCTCCAGCTTCTCGTTCTCATCCTGGATCTCCAGGCGCGAGGCAATGCAGTTCCGCGTGTCGAGAAAGGTGCGCCGCTGGGCCCGCTCCATCATGATGTTCACCACCAGACCGGCCACATTCACGCCGATGAAGATAACGATGTTGGCGATCAGCTGGTTGTACTCCAGGTAGCGCAGCGCATCTGTGAATATCTTGTAGACCGTCAGGCTGATGTGCACCGAGGGCAGGGCAATGCCGAAGGCCACCGCCTCCCAGATCTGCAGCGGCATCATGGCGTAGGCGAGGAAGACCACAAAGACGATCTGCCAGACGCCCTCGGCCATCACCTCCTTGGTGTCCACCGGGAAGATGCTGCCCAGCGTTGGCATCGACACCACGCAGATGCTGGCCGTGAACAGCAGGATTCCGTAGCACAATGTGGGCAGGTGGTGGTCCTTGATCACGGAGCACTGCAGCAGCACCAGCACCACCGCGAACAGCCCACACACGATCGCATTGAAGATGTTCTGCGGGTAAGGAAATCAAACAAATTTGTTCATATTATTAAAAGGTTGTTCAATGAAATTAACCAGTAGTTAATCTAGGAGTTAAACTAGGAGTTAGTTCTATCTGTGATTTCTGTAGATCCTGCTAAAAAAATATTGCCTAACTTAAGATAACTTATAATATATCTCCGTAGTTATTATAAATACGAATATGAAAATAAAATATGTTTATCATGGTACCGATTTCTCAATGTCATGTTAAGGATATAGTTTCTTAGCTGTCAGAGAAAGTTGATATAAAAGAGAAATATGTTTTCTCAATGTGATACTAATTAGACAACTCCTTACATAGTCTGTAACCACATGATTTAGTATAATATATGGACTGACAAACCTGAAAAAGAATAATTTTAACCAGAACTCAACCTCTAGTTAAGACTTTTTAGTCAGATAAAACCAAATCTGTTGCTGAGAAACCAAATTTTTCGAAACAGCGATTTAACCGAACGTCAAAAGTTAACATGACATTGAGAAACCATTTCTTCTGACTGTGATTTATAGTTTCCCCCAAAAGAAAACTACTTACGTGAAAGGTGGCCGCATTATTGAAGGTCAGCGAGAGGGCCGCCATCACCCCGCAGAGGACGAGGACCAGGGCCACCACGCCCAGCACCGAGAAGCGCTGCAGCTTGAGCGTGTACCGCTGGTAGAGGCATTCCAGCTCGTCGTTCTCGAAGCGCAGCGTGTTGAGCGGGCGGCCGCGCGTCGCCTTCACGGCATGATCCATGCGGTGCCGCCGCAGCTGCCGCTGCCGAGCGGCTCCGTCCGACGCCTGCCAAAAGGATTGGGGCCGCCAAGATCAGGGGCTGCAAGTAGAGGAGGCGGGAGATCGTATTAGTATCTCATTCTATACGTTTAAAAAAGTTTACGAACAAATATCTTATCAAACTAAACTTGGGCGTTATTTCACTGGGCCTTATTGCATTCACCCTATATACAATAATCTATAAAGCCTTAAAGGCTAAATTAATTTTGGATTACCTTTATACAGGGTAGTAACACACTTAGAAAGAATTTCGTTTTTTAATGATCGCCAAAATTAAGAACTTGTAAATGTCTTCCGATCGATTTTATTTTGTGTGGTCATGGCTTTTACTCTACATAGACCCACTTAAATGTTTGATAATTCAAAATATAGATAAATTATTTAGAGGGTCTTAATTAACTCTAAAGTCATAATTTTTATATATAGAATTATTAGAATAATATTAATATTTTATCATATTACTATGTGTTCTATATAACTTATACTCCTGTAATATTGGTTTTGCAGACGTATCCAATATTTAATAGGTCAAGCTATATTTTTCGTGATTATAGATACCATTCCTTAATTTAATACATCAGAAATTTAAGAGATGATTTTAAGATTATTACTTGATTGATAAATAAATATAATTAATTCTATATCAACTCCATATCATATGGTATATTTCATATCAGTAGCCCAATGGAAATTTGTTTTTGCAGACACTTCCATTTTTGTATAAATCAATCAACATGTTCCCTCGTTTTCCGCAGTGTAAGCGGGACCGGGTCACCTTGAAATCGCGCTGACGCTGCATGTGTGTGGTGGGTCGGCTTTGGAAAATGGGAAATGGAAAATAGGAAATGGGTGCCTTCGCCGTCGCCGCTGCCTTTGTGCATACAACACGCAACCAATGGAGGGGAAAATGTCCACCGACGGACAGCATCAACACATCGATGGAAAGCGAGGCAAAGCCAGGCGAAGCCCAACGCCTCGCCGGAATCGTTTAAAATAACATTTCCCATTCGCTGAAAATATCCGCTAAAAATAAGCAAAGCTGAAAAGCTGGCGTGAAATCAATCAATGTTCAGCAAATTCTACCCACTACCACACTTTCCAAATGGCCCACGCACTTGAAGAGGCGCAAAATGTTTTGAGATGGCCAGCGAACCTCCGATGACAACGGTCTTTCAGTGGCAGATTAATTGCGATCTGTATATGCGGCAATCCGTTAAATTCATTAAAATATTATGCACAAATTCAGATTGCAAATAAAATCCGTAATTAGCCGGCTTTAACGAGTGCAACGTGGAATATTTGGCCGCTGCCATTGGATCGATGTCTATATTCGGCTATGCCCGAGACGTTAAATCAATTAGGCATGAAAACATTTATAGACATCGTGGAGCAGCAGCCCACAAAATCACCTGAATGCGATGTGAGGTGTGTTTTTTGGGGGGGTAGAAGAGGTAGGTTAACCCTTTTGTGGCACCCAAAACTGTCCCAATCACAAACACCATCTATCATATAAAAAAAAATGAGCTACTTCATATTGATATTATTTTTATTCAGACCTATTAGAGTTTTAGACCGGTGTATATGATATAAAATATACCTTTAATTATTGTTATTAATCTTTTCATTCATAAAATTATCTGCTTAAAAAGATACACAGAATACATTTTTTTATAGGTAAGGAAAGTTGTAAAAGTAAACAAACAATATATATTCTATATTTATATACTTGAATATTTTTTATTATTATTATTCATTCATCATCAATCATTTCATTCATAGAATTATCTGCTCAAATAGGTACACTCAATACATATTTTTTAATAGGTTTTTTCAAAGGAAGTTGTAGATGTATATAAACATTGCCTTAATAAATTTGATTGCTTCCTATGAAAACAAAATTAACATTATTCAAATAAAAAAAATTCTTATAATATAATATAACCATAAATACACATTCTAAAAATCCATAAAGATTGGGATTGTTTTTGAATGACTATATCTTAAAGAGATCTGAAAATTTTAGAGGCGTAAGTCCCTTTAGGAATAATATCATTATAACAAACTTATGAACTCATGATAGATGACTTCCCTTGATATACTTAGAATTTGGATTCCTTTTTTTACTAATCCATTATCTCTATTTCATCCATTGATCCTGATAACAAAGTTTCGAACTTTAATATTCTATCTTAGAGTTAGAGGTCTAACCATTCTACCATCGATATATCACCTTTTACAATCCTTATATCATCATATCATCTTTATATTATCTTTCTATCACCTTTATGTCATCTTTTTATCATCTTTATATCACCTTTATATCATCTTTATATTATTCCCTGATCCTTACCATCGATATATCACCTTTTACCATTCTTATATCATCATATCACCTTTATATCATCTTTCTATCACCTTTATATAACCTTTATATCATCTTTATATTATTTTTATATTATCCTCTGATCCTGATCCCAGATATTGGCACACTCTAGATGGCAACGAACTGTGCAAATCGATCCGAGCTCCTTGTACCTCCCAGGCCAGTTGAGCAATCATCCAGCAGATCTTGTAGAGCCTCGTGTTTGAACAGTTGCTCCGACGAACCCTCGACAATTAGACTTCAACATGGACATATCTTTTGTTTGTACGGCAGCAGTTTGCCAGTCAGTCAGTCAGTCAGTTGGCCATTCAGTCAGTCAGTCAATCATTCAGTTGGCTTATTCGTTGATTCGCTGTCAATTTGTTTGCTCGCGCCGCTTGTTTGTTTGCTTATGTGGGCTGTTTGAATCATTTTTGATGTGCGCATTTTGAATTTGCATTTTCGCAGCGACATTAATATAATGAGACGTGAATATTTTCAATTTTGCGTCCACATACCCATGTCCCCAACTTAATGGCTTCAATGCCCGGTGATCCACCAACCAACCGATGAACAGACCAACCGACCAGGTTGTGTGTGGGCTTGTCCAAAATTCTATTTTTGCGGCACGCCAAGTGCTCAGGCGAATTTCTGAGTTATGCAAGTGTAAATACGAGTGCTTCGCACTGCAAGTTCATCACTAAACAGTAGAAAAAAAACCAAAAAAAAAAAAATACAAACAAAAAAGCCAAAAACACAACGCAACGGAAAAATTGCTGTCATTATAAATTCACGTCAAGTGGGAATTTCGTGCGTATTTTGGAAATTGTATTTATGTGTCCTACATAAGTTGCGACGAGCTGTTTTAGCGATGTTATATTTCTGGCCGGGCCGCAAATGAATTAAATAACATTCGATTATGATTGGAAATAGATCGATTGAGGGCCGCCTTCTGGGAATACTTGGCATCATCCATCCATCCATCCATCGAATAATATATGTACACAAATGTACTAGTAGCTAGCCCCCTTGAAATGGGAAAACATGACAATCTCTTGTGTTTCCCTCTTGTGGAACATTGACAGCCGCACCAGCCATCCCATCGGGGAGATCAGAGTCCAAAGAGGCTTCTTGCCAAGACTGGTCACTACTATGTGTCCTAATAGAAAATACTGCTTAATGAAACCCCCCAAAAAACCCAGGGGTTGCGTTCCGTGTCAATCAGCGGAAGAAAAAGTGCAAATAAAATGCAAAGCAAGTGAATTTGCAGCGATTTCTCGATTGATTTTGCTAGCCCCAGCAATTGACAGCAATTAGGTTTGCAACACTTTCAGGGGCTCCGCATTAATCGTCATCATTCTCGCAATATATAATCAATCAGATTTCAATTTCCAATTTTCGCTTTCGTCGTCTGGCGCCCGGCAACAAATTAAGGCAAAAGCGATAGATGGATGGATGGATAGATAGATAGATATACAGATAGAATAGAAAACCCGATGCAAAAGCAGCATTCAGCATTCAGCATCAGCGAAATGACGCAAACCGTACAGAAAATATTTAGCAAAAAAAGGAAATCACAAAATGTACGATTGTGTGTATGGACATGGCCATATCAAACGGTTTTTATGGCCCACTAAACTGATTGGATTCGGGGGATTCATTTGTAGTTTCCAAATTGGGGAGCACTGGGAACTGCAGCAAAATTGAGGGTGTGAAAGATCAAGGAATAATAATTTATGGCCTTTTCATATTCTGGAAAACTAAGGCCCATAAAGGTGCTAGGAAATATAATGTTCCCAATTTAAAGTTGAATTTTATATGGACATTTAATTTTCCTAAAGACCTTCGGGATATGACTTGACAAAATGGATCACCCCCCTGGTCACTGATTATTACAGAGAACCCATCTATCAAATACAACCAACCAACTTGCCAAGGCTCACTCATCCGCCATGTGGCACATAAATACATTTTTCCACATTTTGCCGCTGCCAAAGGGAAACGAAAATTGTATTAGACCAAAGTTTCCTACTAAAATATTTTGATAGACAACAAAGTTTGTCTCTCTGGCCAGCCATTTGTGTAGCGAAGCCGGTCCAAAAACTAATTATATTTGTATATGTTCATCGTAGGACACAGCAAGCCCAATTTTCCCCCTTTTTGCCTGGCAAGTGGGAAAGACAAAATCAATTAGCGGATCCGGTGCACAGTTTGGCCGTCCACTTTACCAAATAATTTATTACACTGGCTAACAAAACAAGAAGAGGTGCTTTCGAACAGGGAACTGTCTTTTTGGAGACTCAAAAAAACACCTTTATTAAATATTATTCGGTGCCCACTATATCATTTTGATTATTAAGATGATAAATCATTATATCTCTTAGTGATTTTCTAAAATACATAAAGAAGTGAACCTATTAGAAAAACTTTTTTTCAAAATAAGACATTTTTTTTAATAAAAACACATTTTTTTAAGTTGGTGCTAACATAAATATGTTTAACTAAATTGAGTACAACTTTTATAAACACTTTAGAACAAAAGTTCTTTAGGAACAAGTTTTTGAATAGCTTTTCAAAATTAGTATCTCAAAAAGAAAATCCCATTGTTTTGTCAACTAGTGTTATCTGCATCCAAAGTGATTTCCCATATATTTCGTTTATTTTCTTGTTATTGGCAT